TGTGATGTGATTTTGTCTCATATGGTGAATTTTTCTTTCTTTTCTTGAATATAAAATCAATAGATAAACTGAACTATTTTGAGAAATATTCATTTGTGATGTAACTTTCTATCATCTGATGAATTTTTCTTCCCTTTCTTGAAAATAAAATCAATAGATAAACAGAAATATAATAAGAAATATTCATTTGTGATGTGATTTTGTCTCATATGGTGAATTTTTCTTTCTTTTCTTGAATATAAAATCAATAGATAAACTGAACTATTTTGAGAAATATTCATTTGTGATGTAACTTTCTATCATCTGATGAATTTTTCTTCCCTTTCTTGAAAATAAAATCAATAGATAAACAGAAATATAATAAGAAATATTCATTTGTGATGTGATTTTGTATCATCAAAGGAATTTTACTTTTTTTTCTTCAAAATACAACCAATAGAAAAACAGCACAATCATGAGAAATATTCATTGGTGATATGATTTTGTATCGTCTGATGACTTCTTGCTTTCTTTTCTTCGAAATAAAACCAATAGATAAACAGAACTATGATGAGAAATATTCAACTCTGATGCGATTTTGTATCCTCTGATAAATTCTTACTTTCTTGTCTTCGAAATAAAACCAATAGATAAATGGAACTATTATGAGAAATATTCATTTGCATTGTGATTTAGTCTCATTTGATGAATTTTACTTTCTCTTCTTCAAAATAAAATCAATAGATAAACAGAGCTATACTAAGAAATATTCATTTGTTCTGTGATTTTGTATCATTTGATGAATTCTTCTTTCTTTTCTTCAAAATAAAACCAATAGATAAACTGAACTATTATGAGAAATATTCATTTGTAATGTGACTTTCTATCATCTGATGAATTTCTCTTTCTTTTCTTCGAAATAAAAACAATAGATAAACAGAACTATTATGAGAAATATTCATTTGCATTGTGATTTAGTCTCATCTGATGAATTTTTCTTTCTTTTCTTCCACGTACAATCAATAGATAAACAGAAATATCCTCAGAAAAGTTCATTTGTGATGTAATTTTGTATCATTTGAGGAATGTTTCTTTCTTTTCTTGAAAATAAAATCAATAGATAAACTGAACTATCATGAGAAACATTCAATTGGGATGTGATTTAGTATCATCTAATGAATTTTTCTTTCTTGTCTTCAAAGTAAAATCAATAAATAAACTGAACTGTGGTAAGAAATGTTCATTTGTGATGTGATTTAGTATCATCTGATGAATATTTCTTTCTTTTCTTCAAAATAAAATCAATAGATAGACAGCACTTTCCTCAGAAATATTCATTTGTGGTGTGAATTTTGTATCCTCTGATGAATTTTACTTTCTTTCCTTCGAAATAAAACCAATAGATAAACAGATCTATTATGAGAAATATTCAACTGTCATGTGATTTTGTATCATTTGATGAATTTGTCTTTCTTTTCTTCAAAATAAAATCAATAGATAAACAGAACTATCGTCAGAAATATTCATTTGTGATTTGATTTTGTATCCTGTGATGAATTTTGCTTTCTTTTCTTCAAAATAAAATCAATAGATAAACAGAACTATTGTCAGAAATATTCATTTGTGATGTGATTTTTTATCCTCTGATGAATTTTTCTTTCTTTTCTTGAAAATAAAATCAATAGATGAACTGAACTATGATAATAAATATACATTTGTGATGTGTTTTTGTATCGTCTGCTGTAGCTTTTTTCTTTTCTTTAGAATAAAATGTGTAGATAAACAGAACTCTGGTCAAAAACATTCATCTGTAGTGTGATTTTGCACGTTTGTTGAATTTTTGTTTCTTTTCTTCAAAAGAAATCAATAGCTATACTGAATTATGATGAGAAATATTCATTTGTGATGTGATTGGGTATCATTTGATGGATTTTTCTTTCTTTTTTTTAAAATAAAATTAATATGTAAATAGAACTATCTTCAGAAATATTCATCTGTGATATGATTTGGTATCATCTAATGATTTTTTCTTTCTTTTCTTCAAAAGAAAATGAATAGATAAACAGAACTATGATAGGAAATATGCTTTTCTGTTGTGATTTTTTATGTGATTATGCATTTTGGTTTCTTTTCGTGAAAGTAAAGTCAATAGATGGACACAGCTGTAATCAGAAATATCCACTAGGGATGTCATTGTTTCTCGTATAATGATCGTTGCTGTTTTGTGATAGAAATGGTCAAAATATATGAGCCGAACATTTGGAATCATGTTATCCTGTTGCTTGGGAAACACTTGATGGATTGGTTGAAGGGAAGCTTGTGGTGTAAATGAAAAAGTAGGTGAACGCAGTTTGGCTGATAGATATTCTTTTATTTGAGACTAGTGAATCATTGTTCAGTTGTTTGTTTTGCGCTAAAATCTGTGAAAAATTATTGAATGATTTGGTCATTACAGATTTCCTTTTATAATCGGTCTTTTTATGATGTTTAATGAGTTGATGTTCTGTTCAAATAGAATACAGTAAATGAATTATATAGTTTATGTGCTTGCAATGAGTATCGAAAATAAATATGACAATCTGAAAATAAACTTTCTAATGACGCAGTGCGACAATTTTCTATTTGAATCTACTCTAAAAGCAGAATAAAAACGTTGAGGAAAGGCTTAAATTGAGAGTGTTGAAAGGATAAGAAGATATTATGTGTTTCTTGTTTTATTGGTATTGATCGATGCATCATTGCTGTTTTACGTGCAACTGAGGATCTAGATCGAGAGCTACGTCTACATTCTCCTGTGGACGTTTTGGGATCCTATATTTGATGACCTATGGTATGATGAAAGACGACATAAAAAATTCTACTGTTTATGTTACAAGAATATCTGTCGGATGCCATGTTTTACGCATATGATTTATTACATTAGCAAGAAATCGATTTACACTAATTTTAGATGATTTTTTATGAAAATAAGTCATAGGTAAAAGTAGAATAAATGTTTTTGAAATAGCATATCTACGTTTACCAGTAGATGTAGTGTGAGTAATTCGTTATGGTTCAGAGTAGTAATAATATGTTTCGCTTCTCTGATTGAGGTTTTAATTTGTTGTTGATGATCATTCTTAGCAACAAAGTTCATTCAAATATCATGTAGATTTAAATAAGTCTGATGTGCTTTGGTATTATTAGAACCTGAATCATGCTAATCAATTTGTGTCCCATGATTATGTGTGAAAGATCGTGTTTTTTAAAAAAAACTTCGTATTTGCGTTTATCATGGAATACTCTTTGAGCAATAATTAATGATCTTCTTGATAATTATCTACAAAAACTAGAAAAGCAAAGAAAAATAATGATTAATGAAAAATTTACATTGAATTTCTTCAATATTATCCATCATTTTTGCTACTTTTAAATCTTGAAAATCAACATTTTTTCCAGTAACTATTCGTGCGCGTTAAGAAAGCAATTTTCTCCGATGAATACTGACAATAAATATCTACTTGATCATATTCTTTATTACAATTAATTTTATCTTACATCCTTTTAAGTATAAGTTTATAATATGTTTGCATATCGTCGTGATCAGGCGTTCTATTTCAACTAAACAACCTTGCCTACAATCATATGTGAGTGTTCTGAACGAGTTAACACTTCTGTGTAATTTGCTTCAAGTACAGTGCACGTCAAAAGTCTCGCGCCACTTTTTTCTGTTGAGCTATGTATTAAAACCATCCAATATAATTGAAATGTTTTTTATCACAAGAAAATAGAGATCAAATGCTACACTTATGTATACGTTTAAAAGCTAAAGTTCTTGAATATAAAATAGTACAAAATAAAATAAACTTTTCTAAGACAAAGCAAAAGGCATGAAAAATTAAAAAACCAGTTTATTTCTGTCCGTTTATGAAGAACAATGATGATTGAATAGAAATGGCCAATCTTTGTGTACATTTTGATCATATATAATACTAGAAGCGTGTAGGATGATATGTGGAGTGGATGTCGATACGTTCGCGGGTGTGGTTTTAGGTTTCAGCTTGATTGGCGATCCTTGTTGGCATAATTGTGGGTATTTTTCTTTTCCTAGTCCATATCCACATTCACACCTACACATACCCCACACACCGATACGAAAGCATCTCCATGCATACTCACATCGATACTTTTTTTTTAATGACGTTTTTTTTGTCGTGAAAAAGTTTGTTTGATTTTATATTCAAAAATTTCATCTTAAAGCCCCCCCCCCCCCCCCCGTAAAAAGCTATTTTTTCAAAGAAAAACTGATATGAAGTTTTGTTCGTAGAAAGATGCATTGAAGTCTTCTATTTTAGAATATATATGATTGTTCACAAAGCAGTCAGGTTTTAGCCGAGTTATTGATTAACTTTGGAACTACTAAAGTATTTTCGCGGTTTTTCAATTTTTTTATTCTTTAATCTTTGCGATTTCAAAAGATTGTTTTCCATTCACTTAATATTTAATATAGTTTTTCTTATACTAACTATTAAGAGTCTAGTAATACAGAAGGATTTCCTTAGAAAAATATTTTAGCCAATTAAAACTTTTTTTTTTCGTCTCATGCAATTTCATAAACGAAGTCTAATCTACTCTGAGTAGTTTTTATCACTACAAACAAAAGAACAAATACAAAAAGTAAAACTAGTTTCAATATTGCAAAAACAGATATATCTCTTGTACAACACGAAGATGTAAATTGCACTTCAGTATGTGCCAACTTGATAATCTTCAATTGCATCATTATCATTAACTTCATCGCTGTCGTTGTCATTGCTCATATTTTAATTGTCATCTGTTTGTTGTTCTGTTCTCTTTCCTTATTGTGCTTCTTGTTTAAACGCTGTTCATTCATACGATCAAAGGCGATAAAAGAAAAATGACCAAGCTCACCTAGAGAAGAAAAGTGCGAAAGCGAAATCTTTGGACGAGAAGAATGAGATAATCTGAGATATACCTAAGACTTGATATAAGGCTT